GTCCAGGTCCGAGGTCCAAAGCGCTCAACAGGAGCTCCGGGTCGTCCAGCGGGTGGCCTGTGAGGGTTACTATCATGGAAACCGCTGACGGCGCATGAATGGGAGGTTGCTCCAAGTGGAAACATGCGGCAAAGGAACCAACCAATTGCCACACAAGCCTCACCTTCCCCCCTCCCCACCCCCCCTCCCCACCCCCCCTCCCCAACCCCCCACCACACTCCCCACCTCCCACCACTGTCACACTCCCCACCTCCCACCACTGTCTCTCCGTTCCCCCCAAGCCCCACTCTCCCCACCCCAGCTTCCGCAACCTCCCCCACCCCCGCCACTCGCTCCTCGTCTCCCGGTCTCCCGGTCTCCCGGTGCCCCACACCATGCGCCTCGCGCGGCAAAGCGCAGGAACCGCCGCCCCAGGCGCCGCTGCGCCGCCGCCTTCAGGTCCCGCAGCCTCGCCGCCGCGGGCAGCGGCACGCGGCAGCCTCTGCCGCTGGCCAGGCGGACCTCCAGCTCCATGGCGCCGGTTGCCCCTCAACGCCGGGTTTAGCTTCGGCGGCTGTTTTTGCTTGTTGTGTTTTTGGTTGGTGTCCTGTAAAACCCATGAGAAAACTGGGCTGTCCTCAGCTCCCCCGCGAACAAATAACCTTTTAGTGGATTACTTGGTTGCTGTGGACCCCCCTGGAAAAAGTTAACTTTTGGGGGGTTTAGTGGAAAACCCTTTGATTTCAACCAATAAGCTAAAGTCTAAACATCCAACCCAGTAGCAGTCAAGTAGCCACCTGGAAAACAGGTGAACAAATGCCCCCCCCCCTCTCCAGAAAATAGAAAAACTGCCATATTTGAGCACAATCCTTCCCCCCTCCAGAAAATACGCACATCCATATTTTAGCAAACCCCTCTGTCTGCAAAAGCGGATCTTCTTCGGCGTCTAATCTGCTTTGTGCTCAAGGGAAACAAACGAAACAAATGTGTGGTATCGGCAGATCCTCAGAAGGGTAAGTCACCGGTATGTCCTCTTTGCAGGGCACCATCCTGGAAACTCTCTACGTTCCACTTAAAGCTCTTGGCAAGGCCTTATTTGCTTCGTAAGGCGCCTTGATTCGCTGTTGAGAGGGGATTTAGCTTGGCTTTGAATGCTGTTGCTTAACAGCGTTGGGGGTACTATCACGTTCAAGTGAACTTTGGCGGTCTGTGGGCGCAACGAGCACAAATATCGGAACACCGCAGCCTCAAAGAAGGTTCGTACGCGGTCTGCCTTAGCTTTTGGGGGACTTGTTGAAGGCATACGGCTGTGGCAAGCAAGTTAGGACTCAGTGTGCAGCTTCCTTCCATTTGAGCCATATGCTAAACATGCCGAAGTTCTGAACAAGTAAGCACTCGAGGTTTGAGGAACTGATCAGAATGCAAGAATTAGGTCGGGGACATCATTCGGAAAAGTTTAAATTACGCTGGGTATGACCGCGCATGTGGCGGGGCGCAAGGAGCGATCTTGCCAAAGGGCATGAAAGAGGTAGCCAAACAAACAGCGGAAGAGAAGCAACAAGTTGCTCCGAGAACGGAGCAAGAACGGAGCAAGAACGGCGCAACTTCCAAGCGGACGAAAACCAGTCGTGGTACAACAACGAGCTGCTCTCATGGTGACTGTTGAAAGGGACTGGAAATGGAAAGGCAGGCTGCTCACCGGTATTCACCGGTCCACTCCGACTTTGCTTCAAACCAAAGGCACAATGAATGTAAGCCAGTGTTTGCCTGCGCAACCTCGTCATGAGAAGTGACAAACAGAGACCTGCTGGGCCTCTCAAAGGTGCCATGTTGAAGAAGGCCTAGCGAAACGCGAAAAGCTGTGTGTGTGTGTGTGTAAGCTTTTGGCCCTGTCAAATCAGTGCATTCCACGTTTTGTCTGGCCTCTTTCCGTCTAACTGCCGCATTCCTATTTTCAGAGGTCCAAGCAAACTGGGTCCCCAAAAGCGAGTATTTTCGGCATTTTGAGGGGTTCTCAAATTGCCCACAAACGAGAAACAACGGATAACCCCGGCATGGTATCCATGTTGGTGGAACGCATGCTTTTCCGTGATACCAACATGGGATTCTCATCAATATCACTTTAAGGGAGATTCCCGGTTTCAGAGGTAGGGCTGATTCCCGAAATCCCGCCATGAGTAAGGGTCAAAATTAAACCACCAGAACACTGCAGGGTTTAGTCCATGTTTGCCATTTACCAGGGCAACTACTTGGATAGCCAAGTTGCTTTTTTTTTCTGTCACGGTTGCTGTTTTTTGGGGGTAAAGTGCATGGAAAAAAGCGATCGCAACTGGCGATCCAGGTAATCTATGTTTGACCCACAGCCTTGTCTCGGTGCAAAGCTACATCGGCGGCCTGCTTCATCTCGGAGCTCTTCGTCTTCTGTGGCGAGTCCTGGCCCAACAAATGGTCCACACCAAACCACTGCCACACGCCATGCCGCGGGGTTGGACTTCGAGGGGTGCCCTCCCATCTCTTCTATCCAGAAAGAATCTATCCAAGCATATACACACATTGACATAGTGAATTATTTCTTTCACACTTTCAACCAACCTCTCAAGGGTCCCCCCAAGCCAAAACACAAACACACACACACACACATACACACCACGACACACGTGTCGATCTCCACACGCAATCAGTCCTTGGACTGGGACCTGCAAGTGTCCGTCTTCTCGGACTTCCAGTCCTCAGTGCTCAAACAGAAACGCTGAAGCAAAGCTGAAGCTATATGGGTCAAAATCCAAATCGTACCCCCAGTGAACATCCCACTCCCGACTAAGGTGGTGAATTCGCCTACCCCAAAATGGTACCATTAGTTTGAATTCGCCTACCCCAAAATGGTACCATTGGTGTTGACAACCACAGCCATATCTGGAGTTCCTTTGGTTGGCCCTGCCCGGACTCCGACTCCTACCGCTCATCCATCTGGGCAAAAAATACAACTTCCAGGCTGGAAAATTGGGAATCCAAGATGAGGCTGTGTCCGTCCGGTATCCATCCCCTGACCCCCCCTGATCCATCCGCAGATCTTTTGTTGCAAACCTGAGGCAAACTTCTGGGTACGAACAGGCAGGGGGTTGAAATACCCCCCCAAAAGCGAGCCGAAGTCAGATCCGGTCGCGGGGTTGTGAGTGTATATATCTGATTGAGGTAAGTCAGGCTTGCAGACAGCGTCACAGATTCTAAGGTGGGGTCAAACAATCAACCAGCTTAGATAGATACAGGGCAGAAGATGAGGAGAGGGCACAGAGCCGAAACGCAAATTGAACACCGGGATGCGAGCATTATTAGTGGCTCTCGTATATAAAAGAAACTGTATATAAGTAGACTGTGCATGATTCACTGCAGGAACTGCACAGCACCATATGTCAAACCAAGCAAGTTCGCTTTCCAGTCTACTCGCCTACCTGCAAAGCAAGGCACACATGTGTGCGTTCGTGTGTGTGTGTGTCCAAAATAATTTTGACTATCTTACACAGCAGTTCAGCAGTTGGACTATCAGTTGGCATATTTTACTCAGCGGCTTCCTGGGGCTTGGTTTGAGCACACCGGATGGTCTCTCTTGTGAATCCTGGCTCATGTGGAAGCCCCGGCGAAAACGGACACTTGCCTAGGTCTGAAAAAGTAGAGAGCATAGAATAAGGGTACCCTTTTTTTTCCGCAGTCTATTTTAGTAGGGAAACCCTCCCCCAAAAAAGAAGCGGTAAAAGGGCACTACTGGGGGACCTAGTTGCCTCCAGCAGAGGGCCATCACGCGTGAGCCCCATGGGCTCGTTCCAATTTGTCCACCCATCCCCTCCTCCGGCTCCAGCGCCCGTTCTCCACCAGTCATTTGATGCGGCTTCTGGGGAAAGCCTCTCAATTGGCCCGGGACAACGAGCAATCTGCTATTTGGCCATGGGTCAAAATCCAAACCGTACCCCCAGTGAACATCCCAATCCCCACTAACTTTAGGTTCTAAAATGGGTGGTGCACCTACCCCGAAATGGTACCATTGGTTTTGACCCACAGCCATTTTGCGCCCAGGCTCAGATTTGCCCTCAGATACGTACTTCATCTCCGACTTTATCTCAGACTTCTCTTCCTCACACCGCGATTTGCCGTCGGACTCACCCAAATCGAATCAGGTCAGACCGTTACGCTTTGCGGGAATCGGAGGTTCAGTTAACATGTGTGGTAACTTCCCAATTCTTTCAAGGATCCTGCTTGCCAGGCCAGGGGAAACGGTTGGCTGTTAAGAATAACAATGGTTGCAAAGAATGAGAGCTGCAAGTAATTGTATCAAATGCTCATTGCGTTGCAGAACCACCTTACTTGGCCACTGCACTTTCGGCGGCAATCCGTAGACCCGGTGGCGATTGCATGGATCGCCTGTGGCTACTTTGTCATTTTGAGGGTGATTTGTTCACAGAAAACCTCCATTCTTGCACTAAAAGCACATTTCTCTATTTCTAGATATTTTGGACATTACGACCGTTCAGTGAATTTAATCCTTTGGCTGCCGCAGGGCCGATATATCGGCCACCCAAAGACTCCCGTCCTCACGCTCCCGGGTGTCTGCGGTGCCGGTGGGGATCACGGCCATGCTGCCCGGCCCCGACTTGGGGGCGCCTGGCACGTGGACCGCATAATATACATTATATATAAAATGTTTCTATAAATAATATTATGTGTATATTTGTATACATATATATTAATGGGGTTGATCAAAAGGTCCTTTATATGGGAACATGGGGGCAAACCACGAAACATATATGATATTTCCAGATATTTCAACCACCAAATCATCCATGCTTATTTGAAGTCCGAACAAAATATTGATCACCCCCCCTTGTGTGTGTGTGTGTGTGTTTGATTGATGCTTTGAGGGTAGCTTTTCCAGGTTGGTTCAAAGGCAAAACCAACGGAATGCCACGATTTTGGGGACCGATTCTTGGGGGTTTGGGGGATTGACATGGTTGGGGTAATTTGTTGGGGGTCAACAAGAAACCACGCCTTTTCTTCTTCTTTTTTTTGGGGGGGGTCCCCATTTTGAGAGACACCCATCTCTTGTCTGCTGATTTAGCTTAAAACTTTCAGGTTTCGGTTTGGTGTCTTCCTCACTTGAGCCAAGACCCAAACAGTTGCAACATGTGGGATGGGTGGGAGGTTTGACTGGAAACTTTGTCCAGTGCCATAGCCTCGGCAACCCTGCCCCTGCGAATGTGGGAGGCTTGGGGTATGCTCCAAAGGTATCCTGGAAGGTTCTGGGAAAGGTGTTCATGGTCCAAGACACAAGGATCCTAGACATGACACCCTCTGAGGCTCTTGGAAGGTGTAAGCCTGCTTGAAAAGACGGTTGGCCCCAACCTTCGGTCCTTTCCCACCAAAGCATGGAACACAAGGCCGTGGTGCATATTGGCAGACAGGCGTCCGAAAGGGCTCTTTGCACTTCCCGGCGCCAAACGGTGGTGGTGTGCTGATTCAACATGCGCAAATCCGTACATGGTTCGCGTCTTGGTGTGTAGTATAATTGCTACGAATCACCTCCGTAGTATTTCTAGACTTGCCAGACACATGCGAAGTGGACCGCCGGAAAGAACACGCAAATACGTTTTGTTCCAAGCCAACTCCCCAATGAAAATCAGACTTGCTGCCAGGACTTGCTTTACTAAAGTGTGTGTGTGTGTGTGAGGGCCGTGCGACGTGCCCATTGACTGTTGTCTCCCTAGTGGATGACGGGATTTACACCTCGAATGACACCCCGAACGGTAAGACATGTTCAAAGCCTTCCAATCCTTCCCATTCCCAGAACGTCGTCCGAAAGGAGTCTCAGCGCAATGCTTTGGGAGTGCGGTGGATCGCTTTCATCTGGAAGATAATTCGGAAACTCATCAATAACCACTCCCCGAGTAAGTGACTTTCATTTCAAGCTTCTAAAGGTTTGAAAATCACTGCAACCTCATTAATCACATTCATCCGCACAACGGGTATCAACTCGAAAGAAGCCACTCCCACATGAGAAAGGGAACCACAAATTACAAAACCACCCCTTTGGTGGGTGTTCGACAAAAACAAACAGAACCACGGCAACCCCCCTGACCCTTTTCGGGGGGCCAAATCCCGAAAAAGCCAGAGACTTGCTTCCATTTGCTTATGTCCACTGGAGCAAATGAAAACATGTCCAGCAATGTCGCAATGTAGTAGTGAAATCGACTCCCTTTAAAACCAACAAGCTGGAACATACCAAAAGTATTCCTTTGAGCAAATGTAAGTGGATGTTCAACTCTTGAGAGCTCCCCACTAAAATTCATGGCCATACACTCACAGCCTCTCTCTTTCTCCATATTGGGAAAGGGGAACCAACACTAAAACAAAAACACACAAACACACCAACCCTTTGTGGCAGAAACTTTTGTTAAACAAAAGAAACACCCACCGCACCCCTTTGGTGGGCAAAAGCCACCGACTCGAGGCTGGCCCACCGGGTGCCTGCGCTCTTCCAGCCGAGGTTTCGGAAGGCGGTGGCGCGCCGGGTGATGGCGCGCACCCTGCGCGTCATGGTAATGGGGTCCCCGCTGCCCGCCCAGCGGCCCTGGCGCTGCCGTTCCTCGCGGGACATCGTTTACCCAGAACCATGTAAAGAATTAAGAAGCCCGCCGCACCTATTTATGGTTGGGATCGTCCCTTGCTAACCTTCATCTACCCGGGATTTAATTGTGACTCATCTGGGAATGAACCTTAGGCGTCTAGGCCAACAAAATCAAGAGTGGCTGGCAAAGAGCACTTCCTCTCTTGTCTAAAGGACCTGGATATCAAAGGTTAACCGTTTGCCACCTTGACTCAAAAAGAACCAACATGGACAAACCAAAAAGTTAAAGGTCGGTTTTTGAAAGGCAAGACGCCAAAAGAAAACCAAACCGAGTCTCACCCCCCACCCAAACACAAATAACCGGGACGGTAAAGGCCGGCAAGGCCTGAGGCGTGGGTTATCATCCTTAAGAATCCCAAGCCGGGATTTTAATTGGGTGTTCAGCATGTTCAGCCCAGCTATGTGTTCGGCAACCTACGTCAAAATAATCAAGTAAGCCAGTTTGCTAACCACATACCAAATGGCCGAACAACAAGTACGGAAAAAAAGGCGCAAGGAACCACTTGCTCGACTTTGCAACCCTTGCCGCGGAGACATGTGAACCCCGGATAGTGGTTCGGTGACCATCCGTGGCTAGAACCTGGCACCTTCCGGGAACTCAGAAACTGAAGCTAACTTGCTGGTGGGAATGAGACTATGACCCCTATAAACCATGCCCTATGGTTTAGGGAATCCCCAGCCTCCTTCCTTCATTCCCTGCATTTCTCGCACCAGCAACACATCCGAAGGTTCAACGCATCAGAGCGAGAACTTCTTCGACGTCTCCTTGTGGCGCCAGCGGCGTTGCACCGTCATGGCGATGAAGGCCACGATCATGACACACACGGAGAACACTGCCACCGCGATCAAGGCCCACAACGGCACCAGCTCCTGCCATCGAAGGGGGTGAGCGGATAGTAACCCTGGAGTGACCTTAAGCAACCCAAAAAAATAGGCTGCAACCAGAAATGGTTCAATAGAGATCAACACTATTTTGGCTTGAACGCCCCTACGGCAAGCTTCAGCCCAAAATTTGACAGAGTTCACATGTTTGAAGTCCCATCCTTGATCAAACATACAACTCGCAAGGATCCGAGCGGAATTCAGCTGCCCTTCATTGCGCATTTAGGGTCAGCTCAGCCGGGAAGGCTGGGGTTGGCGTTCGGCCCAAGGAAAATCGACAGATCGCTTCGGTGACCCTGGTTCCCATAAGTTGGTTCAGTTGGTACTCTGATTCTGCTGAACAACCACTCACAACTAAGCAACACGACCACAACATCCACTTTGCAAGTCTAGCCCATGTCCTGCTTATGAGCATGATCACTAGTAAGTAATAGAACGCTTTTGCGTAAAAGTTCAAAGATGACATGGCAAGGACATGGTTGCCTGTGGGGACCAACACTGCACAGCTTCATTGGTAGAAAGCACAAACACGGGTCGACGGATAACTGTCTGAGCCCTTGATTTATGGGTAAACTTCTCATTGGCCATTGTCGCAAAGGGGATCCCAACGAGAACCCTTGAGCCATAGTAGGATATTTCTGAAAGGCTGTGTCCTCTTTAGAGGTACGCTTCAAGGGAAACCACAAGGAAAACCACCATTTTGGTCGTCCCCTAAAAGAAGACACACTCATGAGACAAGAGCAATGTTGTCTGAAGTAATTCACAAGCCTCCGTCCTGACATATGCATAAGCACACAATTAACGTGCAACGAGAACATCCACTTGGCCCACATGCCTCCAAGCAATCGAGTACATCATACATGATTGCCACGTATCTCAAACAGACAGGTCCTGTTTCCACTTTTTGCGGGTCTAGTTTGGCATACCGAAGGGAGAAAATCCACACTTTTAGGAGCAATGTAAGCGAATTGGCCCATGGTCGGTTTCCACCAACTTGCGGCAGCCTAAACAGGAGCACCCTGATTTCAGCGAGATACTGTATGAGCTACAACACGCATTGGCACACCCACCCTCTCCTCCGCTGGTGCCGTCGTAGTCTCCTCAAATCAGGTTGGGCGTTTCTTCCGGGGTGGTAACCCACACCTATTTGGGTTTGTCTCGTCTTAAACCGGGGGGGAAGGTGCAGCTGTGGATTCTCCTCGCCAAAACGGCCAAGCTGTTGATAAGTTGGAGTTGTTTGGCTTAAGCCGAAGATCTCCACTAAGGGGTGAATGGGGTGGAAAGAATAGAAAGCAAACCAATATGAAACCAACCATTCACGAGTTTGCGGACAGGTTGAATGCGGTAGCCTCTGTGAGGCTTACACAACCCTTGCCAAGTGGGTGGTTTGGGACGGCAGTCCTCTTGCAACGGAAGTACTCCCAAATGTGGGAGGGGAGCCGTTTGATTTCGCGTTCACGCCGGGGCCCCCGCCCAAACACAATCCTCATTTCACGTCTCTGTGACAGTGCCCTTTGATTCTTTCTGGGAGCAAAATCAGAAAGCGCCAAGCTGCCTCATATTCGCTGGGCTTTTTCCAGGCGGGGTGTTGGATTCGAGCAAGCCAGTCAGATGTGGGAGGTGCCAAGCGAATGGAGAGGACAAAGGAATGAACATCATCTCAAAACGTCCTCGACAACTCCGTGATTGTTGGAAAGCGGCTATGAGGTCGTGGCCGCTAAGGAGTTAAGGCCATCGTCACAGGACACCAAACAGTTGCGTTTGCAACTCTCTTCGTCTCCTCTCCCGGGGTCAGAGCTTTTATGGGATGCACAAATCGATCACCTGTGTCGCGCGTGCCAGAGAGGATGTTTGATTCTTGTTGGGCTTGTCCAAAAGGTCTCCTTGATCCATCTGACTGTCCAGCACAGCCGAAGGCAGAGCCGGTTCAAATAGGACACTGAAGATGGTGGGTTTCCATTCAACTTCTCTCTTCAAACCCTGCAAAGGGGGGTTCCTCATTTCAGGAAATACCCAGGTGGGTTTTGCTCCAAAATTTGGTGGTTGTCCTCTGGTTTCCCTTTACACCGACCACAAAAGAGCTCCGAGATGCAATAGCTGTCAGCCGGTGGGGAAAGACAAGGCGATAAACCAGGCACCGCTGAATGTCTGGGACACCGAAGCGACCCGCGTTGTGCATGGGCCTGCCTGCGGCGCCACCACATGCGCCAAACTCACCTGCAGCTGGCGTTGAGGGCGAGCATTGGGGCCACTGCAGGGCTCCCCAGCCGGGAATTTACTTGTGCGATAGGGGTATGAGAAATGGAGTGACCCCGACATAAACCATCCAACTAGTGGTTTCCTTTAAGGGTACCAAAGCCTGGGTTCATTCCCACCAATTTCCCTACCTATTGCACAAGCAAGTTTAGCTAGACGCCTTTTGCATCATTGGACCTTCCGTTGAAGGGGTTCGGACCTGCACAGGAAGATGTTGGAGCTCAAAACGGGGCTTTTTGGCCCAAGATGACTTGGGGAACACTCTTGGCGGACCTGTGCAAAGGCCAAGGACTAAGGTTTGGCCAACGCGCAATTGTGTCTGTAGTGCCGTCAACTACATGGGGGGATACACGTCCACCAACCAGTAGCCAGTTTCGTGGGGTGTTCCCTGTTGGAAATCATGGACTTGTGGGCGTGTCTTTGAATAGGGCACCCCAACATGGTGTTTGCTGTTTGCGGGGAATTCTCAAAAAGACGCATGTCTTCTGTCAACCACATACAAAAGATGATTGACTCCGGTCCAAATCCTTGGTTCACATTGAGACCCACCTCAAGAGGGTTACCCTGTACTTCCAAAAGGACACCTATAGGGTGACTGGTTTCATGCAGCTCGGAGCTTCAAACATCTTCAAACTAAGGAGCAAACTAACTCAAAAGAAGAAGCCAAAGTAAAAGCCGAATTGCGGGCACTGATGAAATCCCACACGTCCCCCCAGTAAAGGTTCACAGTGGGGTTGCCGTTGAAGAGTACCTGGCACTCCCCTGAAGCAAGCTTCTTTCTTCAAGTAAGAAAGGTTTGACATCTTGGAAGCCGCTGCTGGGCAACTTCAAGTTGCAAACATGTCTCACAATCCTGAGTCACAACCACACGTAGATCGGGGTGTCCGACCCCTTTCTCAAGATGGATCCGGAAAGAAACCAACCAATGGTGCGGATGCAGATTGTCGGTGTATGACACCCAATCCCAAAACAATATCAACAAGTTGTTCATGGCTCTAAAGATCCTGCCACCTGTCACAAGCGTAGAACGCTTGTTTCCCTGGAAAATACCAAACCAAAAACAAAAACCAAGATTAACTTTGCACCCGCGTGGTTTGACCATGCGGCTCAGAGCAACCCGGGCAACGACCATGAATGTAGCAGCCGAAGCCCGAGCGACGCCACCCAAATTTGTGGGGCCAGCGCCGTGCCAAGTGTGGTGCCGATGTCTTTCCTGGTGAGTCCTACCCCAAAACAACATTTTTATGTTTTTTTAACGGGCGCCTGCAACTACAAGAAAGCCGCAACCAGTCCACAATCTGATTCAAAAAACAAAACTCTACGAAGCCTTCCAATGGAGGTCCCCTTCATCTTGAAAAGGGTCCTGTCACATGGGCAGCCCATCTGGTGAAGGAGTGCAGGCAACAAGTGTGCGCCCTTTTCGCGGAGGACTTCATCGGACACCAAATTGGAAAACCACCCTTTTGAGATATCCAATCCTAAAAATGGACGATCCAAGTGAGTGACCTCCGCCCACGCAGCCAAGTGGCACTCACTGGGGTGACCCACACGGCGCCGACGGTCACCGAAGACAGGCCTGGACTCAACAGTCATTTGTCCGTGGCTCGGAGCTAAATTTAGGGCTTGGAAAACCTGAAGCACTTGTCCACGTCTTGCTGTCCCTGTCTTGTTGGTGTCCGTGCTTTGTTTGTTTTAGTATGGGATATTTGGCACACACTCAAGTAGGGGTCCCTCAGTCCACTCTCTGGAAATGTCTGAGCTTAGGAGGATGCCTCTGATTACGGATAGTATCAATATTCCTTGTGGCCTGTCCCTATTTCAGTTTGGCACAGACTGGTCGGTACTGTTTTTGGGTTGAACAACCGCATGGAACCGCCGCGGGCAACGACTTGAAACGATGTGCATGATGTTGTTCATGCAGCAGTTGAATAGCGTAGCATAGTTCACCATCTATGTGCTCAAACCATTGCTTCATACGCATCCGCTGTGGCAAGTCGACCTTGTAGATGGCAAGCATTCTCCTCATGGAGCGCAGATCTGCCTCTGACTAGGCTGGGGAATTTCCGAAAAATGCTCATTGCTGACACGATCGGCAGACCAACACGAGGAGGCCCCAAAGGGGGCCTGTGGGTGGACAGGTTGCCCTTTAAAAACTCATCCCAAAGGTTCGTGACTACTGCTCAAACTTGTAAATCAAAGTTGTACTTTAGATCCCTGGAATATCCCCAAATGTCTGACCTTTGATGCGTTCGGTCTTTTTCCACATAACTCGACCCGAGTTCGTCAATTTGCCTGCGGCCCCGTGATAAAACTTCCGCCTTCGATCCCTGCCAGTTGGCTGATCAGGCCCTGCTGCAGCGACTCAGCCTGGCGGCGAAGGCGGGAACCCGCGGAGAAACGAAGCATCGCCCAGCCGCCAACCCCAACCCAAGCCACCTACCCTCAGCGGATTGGCCAAAGCAAGTCCGAACATCGCCAGCCGCGCCCAACCCGCGAGTGGCTTGCTTTGGCCACAATGCGCTTCCCAGGAACATTTCCAGGAACGCAGGCCTCTGAGGGCCTCAAGGAGTGAGACGAAAGCACCGAGAGGCCTGAAAGCCAACGCCTGCGAGTGAAGGCCTTGAACCAAAGACTCGGTGACGCTGGACCGGCTGTCCTGGGCCCGGATATTGGAAGCGGCAGAAGAATTGATATCTTTTGATGGCGGCGGGCGGTTCCCTGCTTCCCTCCAGTTGGTGTGGATTGGTGGTTTAGAGTATTGGGGGGCGGTTTCCCACCTACCCTCTACAAGAGCCAAGGGTTCAAATCTCCAAACCACCCAGACTACCACCGACTGAGGGTTGTACCTGAGAATTCCGCAAGTTCAGACCACATGGTTCACATAACAAACACGCCCCGAGTCTTACGCAGCATCAGCTATGAGGGATCCTTCGAGTTCACGGCGAATGGCTTTGGGGTCCGTGGCTGCTGGAGCTGATTCAAGGAAATTGGTATCCGCCGACATTGCTCGGCGTGTCGAGCACCTTTCTCCTTTCGCCGAAAATCTGGAAAAGCTCTGTGTTTTTGGACGTCCTCTTTGCGAAAACGCTGGAAAAAACAGTTTTTTGCGGGAAATGCTGGGGAGCACAGGGGACATGCAAGGAAGTGCAACGAAATGAGGGGAGGAAATAGGAAGTCGACATGACAGGAAAGCAACGGGAAATGAAAGGGAAACCAAGGGGAACTGAAAGGGACATGAAAGGGACAGAAATGAAAACAAGGGGAGTGCAGGTAGAATGAAAAGGGGAGGACAAGGCAGCCAATCGGCACGACGCGAGATGCAGGGAACTGACTCGCAACGAAAGAACGGGACATGCATGGAAAATGAAGCGGACATACCGAGAAAATGACAGGGACATGAAGGGGGAGTTGAAAGCAATGGAGGGGACATAACCAGGACATCATGGGAAACGTGAAAAGGACATGAAGGGGAAATCAAGGGGAAAGCCAGTAGTGAGATGACAGTTCAGGGTCATGAAGGGGCAGTGCCTGGACATCGAGGCAACTCAGGGGGGACGTGACGCTGCAATGCAGAGAGAGAGAGAGAGAGAGACAGGGAGAGAGCGGGAGAGAGAGAGGGAGAGAGAGAGAGAGAGAGAGCGACAGAGAGAAAGAGCGAGAAAAAGAGAGAGAGACAGAGAGGGAGAGACTAGGTCCTCCAGTAGAGAGGTTGGAATAAGGGTGCCCTTTTTCTGTAGAGGGGAGTGGACAGGAAGGAGACAGGGAGACAGAAAGAGACGGAGACACAGAGAGAGAGAGAGAGAGAGAGAGATAGAGAGACAGAGACAGGGAGATTGAGGAGAGAGAGGCTTGGGGGGATGGGGAGGATGGGGAGCAGAGGGAGGGAGAGAGGACGACAGAACACGCGGGGGAGGAGACAAGGGAGAGTGGAAGAAGGAGAAGAGGGAGAGGACAATGTCGGCGGACTGGGCCGGAGGCTCTAAAGTTGCCAAGTGAGTGGACCCACCGTGCCTTCAATTGAAACGGTTTAGCAACGCAATACATTGTAACCTCCCCCAGACTAACACCCAGGAATGCTTTTGAAGACTTGGATCCATTTACAAAGGCCTTCTGGGAGCTTCCATGTTGGCCTAAGGGAGTGTAGTCCACATCATGCTACAAGGGGTGAGAGCTCCTGGCACCGTGGATCCTGTGGCTAAGTTGGCGCCGGGCAAAACACTGACACCCAAGTAGCCGGAACTTCCACACGTGCCAAAGCAGATTTTGTTTTTGCTTTTTGTCTTTTCCATGGGGCGGTTTTTAAGCATGGGCCCTCGAGCAATCCACCCGCTGTGACAAGGATGGCGCGAAACCACTCCTGTAATGCGTGCTCAATCACGCATTCCTCACAGAAGGGGGTGAACAATCCCGCAAATTCCAACGCCTTGAGTTTGACTGTTAGGCAATCATCCATTGTAGACTGCATCCCCTGACCACACCAATCGCCAATCCGTCTGGGTTGCCCGGCCCCGTCAAACACTGCTGGCGTCATTCGTGCCTGAACCTCAGCTGGCTGACAACACACCGCTTGGTGAGTGATACGCGGGTATCATCTAGACTGGACTTATGTCCACCTATTTCAATTCGTAGAATGGCATCATAGAGCTCCTCCCTTGTACTGATTGGATGGCTCAAACAACTCTGTCAGTACGCTGTTTGACAAGCCCTGCGTGACTCCTGCAAAGGCGGTGCTGCATCAGATCAAAAAGTGTCCGAGTGCGCGATCAAAAAGTGCCCGAGTGCGCGAAAATAAGAAGCGGGTCGCACCGGGCTGTGCAATTCCAGTCAAAGGGGCTTGGTTACAGGACAATCTACAGGAAATGGCCCCCAAAACACCTTAAACAAGCTGTTTCCCTGTTGAATTGCCTGTAACCCAACCCTTGTATCCAGGCAACAAACTTGGGAGGCTGCATAAACGTGCTGGACACATCCATTCTTGCTTCAGAGCGATGTCCCAGCGGGCGACCTCCAGCGACAGAGTGAGTTGCCCTGGCCATGGTCAGCCACACATCAAATTGCTATCCTCTCACTTCCCAGCCTGCTGTGCCTGTGTTCGGGCCTGTGATGGCCTGTGCATCCTGAATTGTCATCCTGAAGAGTTGTTGAATGCTTCCACAAGTTCGCAGGCACTTAACTAGAAAATCCATCAGTTTAAAAAGGACAATAGGGAGGTCCACTATGGTGACATCCTGATTTTCCCCCGCCGTTGCAACGGCCCCACCTTCGCAACCACTATGCCGACTGTCCCCAGCCTTGGCCTTTGGACATTTGCTGGTCGGATCAGGGGCACCTCTACCCAACGAGCGTGACCAGAAATCTACATATATCTTCGCATGTTGTATATAATATACATACATATATATATATATATAAATACATATATTATATTATATATGTATCCATCCGGTATATACAATTCTACGTCTCCAACCCATTTTTCCGTGACCCTCAAAACGAACGTCCACTTGGGTCGCGGCAACCACCGATCCAGCAGAGAGCTGCACATCCAAGTCCTGAGCTCAACGATCCAAGTCCGCAGATTTTGGTACCCATGCTAACCCACTTACCGATCGGGCAAGCCATTTTGGAAAATTACCGGTTTTTTGGTTGCCACAGCCAAATGTTGGACCCTCTTTTTCTGGGCTTTGAGACACACACCTTGTAATTATTGTGGATGGGTCCTCGAAATCCGTTTCGCACCGCCATGGGAAACCATGGTTGAGTCCACTGCTTGTGGGTATTTGCAGGGGAATTATCAGAAACCAGGGTTTCTTTGGAGCCATGGGAAACCATTATTTGTTGGTATTTATAGGGAATCATCATGCCCGGGTTTCTCGGGTGCGAAATGGACTTCGTCCATCAGTACGACGGTTACGAGTTGCACACGGATCCCAAAAAGCCCCGTTTTGGGGGCAGGCCCAAGGCCCCCAAACGAAAAACAGCCCCCAAACGAAAAACAACCCCTGGGTCGGGGACCCAAGGGTCGCGTACTGGAAAGCGGATGAAAAACAAAGGGCTCATACAACCAGCGTTGCTTACCTAATGTTCATCATCCAACTTGGGTGAAAACATATTTTGATGGGGGTTGAACCCCAGGGCCTTTTGGGTTGATGTTTAAAGAGAAGCCAAAAGGAACACTACCATAGGGGACCGCTATGTTGAGAACCCCTACATGACTTAGGCCGTCATGGATGTGCCCACCTGCTTGTAGACTGGGAACCCCTAAGCACACATGCACAGTCCGACAGCGTTCTCTAAGTCATCGACTCCAAAGGAAGAACATGTCCACCACCCCACGCTTGAATGTGGGCGGGCAGCCAAGCGCTGCAAGAAAATAGTCCTGTACAAAGTTCTGCGTGTGTCTAAGAGCTTCTCGCAACGAGCTGGTATATATTGCTCTTCTTATATTTACTGTGTGTTTAAAGAAACAAATCTACCCGGCATACCTTTTTACATGGGCAGCCTACTTGATAGACTGATAAGCGTTTACGCACATGTCAGCCTCATGCGGGAATGGACGACACTGTCGTCACAACTAGGATCTTGGGACAGGTTCACATAGTGACTCAACATGTAAGCCTTGCAACTGACATAGAAGCCGTACGTGACTATGAATTCAGATGACCCCAGAGGTTGTTGTGAACACTGGCCGACAACAGTGTAGGTGACTCGTTTGACTGAAAGGAAGGGCACTCTTTGCAATTGCCGGGCCTGCTAATTCGATCCCCGAGTGCCCCAGTTTCAAGCCTACGCAACCACCAGCACCTGACCAAGTTGAGATCCTGTAAGCTACACTAATAGGCTCAGTACATCCCCGGTGCGCTGGATGACATGTTCATACCGCATTAGGAAGCGAAGTACAGGCAACCCCGGATAAGTTCTGGGTTTGTTGGGTTGTCCGATTTCCAACTCAGCCCAGAGGCCCTGCTTAAATCGCGCGGTCTCCTGGCCTGAGAAACGTGCCCAGCCCTCTGCGCGGCAGATTGCAGGGCTCCTGTCGACCGATCAACTTGGGTTTTCCTCCCAGGGATCTGCCGCTTTTCGCAAGCCTGCTCAGGCAAGAAAAACCCAACAAACCAAAACACGAGCCACACAAAGCAGATGAAAGATATTCATGCCCAGCATGCGTCCACATGTGCGAAGATGGATCTACCAAGTTCAGAACATGACAGCAAAACAGAAATTCCCTTCTACTGCCATAATTGAACGTTGTCATACGCGTCAAAAGACATCTGCCCCTGAGAATTCGCATAGATGAATGATAAATAGTAATAACAGATCTGTCCTTGTGCGCACCAACCCCGCAAACAAGTGGAACAAAGAAGGGGCCCACTGCTAGCATCTGTGTCAAGCAAGGGGCCTAGTTTGCAGCAAGCAAACAACAGGCTAACCGCTAACATCCGCCATTCACTGCAAGTGAGTCGTGGGCAGAGGAATATTGGTTCCACCAGGGGATACCCTTGGATCGCTCCATTTACATGTGCTACAAGGGCCAACACGAATAGAAGGGGCTGGTCCAACCAAGTTATCTCACGATCATGGGAGAATCATGTGTAAGTGTTTACCCCATATCAATCACCCCCCCTCCAAAAGTGAGGATTCCCCACAATTCACCCAGTTGTGCACAAAAAACTGGAGTTGATGAAGGGTCGACAAAGCCAGTTAAGAAACTGGGGTTGATGAATGAACTGGTCGTTAAGTACTCTCCCCCAGCTCTAGGGGTACCTTCCCCATTCTTTCCAGGGACCCTTCTTTCAGGAAACCATCCAAAAGCCAGGGGAACCAGCCGGCTTTTGAAAAGCAGTCGGCCCCCCGCCCTTGCCGCCCCCCCCAACAAAGGGGCCGCGATCCTCGCAGCACCGACTCAAACTGCTCCAGCAGAGCTTCATCGGCCACCAGCTGACGGAAGGACAAGCCCTCCACCTGACGGATGTCCCAACAGGGACCCAGGGACGGTGGAGAAAAGACAATTTGGCTGTGGGTCAAAACCAATGGTACCATTTTGGGGTAGGTGCACCACCCATTTTAGAACCTATTTTAGTGGGGATTGGGATGTTCACTGGGGGTACGACGTGGTTTTGACCCATGGCCATTTATTTCTGTGGCGGCATGAGAACCTTCTTTATTCAATAAACAAAGCCGAAGAAGAGATAGAACATCGAATCCTCAGAGGTCGAAGCAGACGATCTGCGAAGACTTTCCTGTGATTTTAAAGACGATTGTTCGGATCAAGTAGCTATCTTGGACATCAAAAACAAAAAGCTCTATCTGTTTTGGACGCTGCCAGAAATGTAAAGCGATTAGTTGAGATGAATTAGAAACCCTCTGCAGGCCTGGAAGTGCGCGGGGAGGGGGGGTGAGTAATACCCCTCCGCGCGATAGGGCTTCTTAGGTCCTTACACTCTCTCTTTCCTATTTTCCCTGACAAGTTTGCCTTTCAGAGATAGAGGAAGAGTGAGTAAGAGGAGCGCATATGTGCATGGCCGTGCTATGTCAAGTAAGACGCGTTTCCAGCACAACAACTGCCTGAAATACTATATAGAGTAGTGGTTGTGTTTTCCCACAGGGACGCCCTTCTAGCAAATCTTCTCGGGGAACCACAAGGAAACGGCGAGGCAAGCCGTGCTTTTCTCATCAAGGCCAAAGGTCAATCGTCATCAACTGTGCGAGGCAAGCCAAACTTCTGACAAAACTTGTTGCACCTGTGCCTGCGCAACCATTCGGCAATCGCGCCTCTGTCTCTATGGATAAAAGGATCCGTTAGCGTATAGCTGTCCTTGCCTTTGACACCTTGAAGGTTGCTTATCATCAGCTTCAGATTCGTCTCTTGGGCGATCCAATGAGAGAATAAATTTGGTGTGTGGTTTGCTTCGCTGTGCCGAGGTTCCACTGCCGAGGCCACTGCTTCGTTAAACTTCTCGAATTTCCCCTCGATTTGTTCCTCCACCTGGACGACGCCCGCCCACCCTTCATCCGTATAACAATCGCAAGGCGCAAGGCCGGTGTTTGCGAAACGAATCTTCTTAGGGCCTTTGCCCTCAAACTTGCGGGCGAACTTGTCAGCCCAAGCAGCTGCCTCCTGCAAGTCCTTCACGCCATCCAAAAGGTTCACGCATCCTCCGCGCGAGTCCTTCACCCATCCCTGAGAGATCTTTGCGACGACAGCCTTGCCACGGGAGAAGAAACAAGTCTGGTCCCATCTGGTCCCTTCGCACAGGATCCGCGCTCTGAAGGCGTGCCGTGCTGAGCCTGATGCGAAAGGGGTCATCGAACACAACTGGACGGCCGGGCGATGATCGAGAATCCATCGCTGTGCGTCGTTTCCGCTGCAGTTCTCGATTTGGACCCTTGTGCCGCCTCTCAGTTGCTGATCACGAACGTCCAAGCAGAGTTCGCCCACGTTCTTGAGCCTGATGACGCCATCCGACAGTTGCCGCAACTCCCATTTCTGCGAAGCGGTATGGTTGCGTGTCCAAAGCTGAACTGCCGTCCTCCGAACTAGCTTGCCATCACAAACATCCAACACAAATCTCGGATCGTCCTTCAAACAGATCCATTCGTCTAGGTAAATCCACTCCTGTGCCGAGGTACCGTTACGCTCATATAGCTGAATCTTTGTACCGCACGTTCGTTCGTTCTCCCGAACATCTAGGCAGAGGGAAGGGTTGGACTCAAGAGCGATTATCATGGATTCAACAAGATAGATTCAGCAAATACCACTTGAGCAGCTTGAGCCAACATGTTGAATGGGGTTTTGGTAGGAAACCCACAAAACAAGAAGATCAAAAGGGTGCCACTGCACAACTGGATACAGCGGATCATGGGTGACTTCAGGCTGTCAGCAGGAAACCACAAACCAAATTATTGTTTAGCACCAAATGCATAGCGCAGAAACACATATTGGTCACGTGGCTGTCAATTCCAGGGATCCCCCGGTCGCTCCGGAAAGCTCTTTAAAGCGAAACCCAACGGGCACCTCTTGCGACTTACTTCCTTCGATTCCATGGGCTTGATGCACAGCGGTGCGGCCTTGAAGTTGATGGAAGCCACCAAGGACACGGCGCCCACCTGAGCACGCAGTGCCAAACAACCATATATAGGTATCCTTTGAGGGGAAATGGATGGCCCTGGTAGAAGATTAACCACCAGGTAAACCAGGGCCATCTATTTTTGTTTCCCAAAACAACCAAAAAGGACACCTATGCAAACAACGCCTTCCTGCTGCCGAATCGAATAACATCCCGACAGGATCCTGAAACTGGCCCGTCTTGGAACGAACACGTTGATGAGGACATTCCTTTTTGCCTTCCGGCAAGAGCACTCAGCTCTTCCAGTCTGTTGGATAGCTTCAATCAACGGCTTTTTATTCGTCCAAGTGGCAAGAACACCATGGTTTGGGCGGAAAAGCACAGCCATGAAAGGGGCACAGCGAAAGCGGCTGTACTTCCACTGGCAGTTCAAACAACCATGGTCAAACCAATGCACTGCGAACACAGGTGGGTGTGCCTTTCTTCAGGGATGCTCCTGTTGACACGTAACTTGGGCCGATTTTCTGGTGCTTCAGGATCAAGTTCACCAAGGAACCTGGGTGAAAATAGCGATCCCACGTGAAAGGAGAGGCCCCCAGGAAAGGGACATTAGTCTTTTGCAAACCAATATAAATTGCGAGTCACTAGAACCTGTCCAAGTCAACATGAGCCGGAATAGACAACACTCTCTCTCTCAAGCGAAGCAGGAAAGCTATAGACACACACGCACCGATCAGCTTGCTGTGTACAACCCTTCTGGAGAGTGGTATGCAACTTGAATGGTTGGAACATCCTCAATCCTGGGTCGACGTTAATCCTTTTGTACATGACAATTGGTGCCGTTTCTTTTACCGTTTCCTTTTTGGGGGAGGGTTCCCCGACTAAAATAGACTACAGAAAAAGTTGGTACCCTTATTCTAACCTCCTTACTGGAGGACCTAGTTGGTGTTCTTCAAATATCTCAGCATCCGTACCATTTGTCCCACGGTACTGGATTCGGGGCCGAAAGCGGGCACGACTGCCCAAGGGATGCGGCATCTATCCTTTTCATATTGGCCATATGGTGGCAGTATACCGCCCCTTTTGGTTCAAGGGCATGTCGAGGTACCGAGGTTATATATATATATATACAGATGCCGCTTCTCACCGTTTCTTTTTTGGTTGGGAGGGTTCCCCTACAATAATTAGGCAACCGAAAAAAGTTGGTACCCTAACCCCCAACCTCTCTATTGGAGGACCTACTAGAGCCTTTGAGCACATTGGTGCCCATCAAAGAGTGATCAATTAAGAAATCATACCTTGGCTGGAATAAGGACCCCAAGAAAAAAACTGACAAATTTGTGTTGCCTGGCTGGTTGAAAACAAAGGGGACCCCAAAAAGCACAAAAACAAGGGAAGCTAATTCTGGGGAGGATACTATAGATATCATTGTAGATTCCTGAAGCGTCGCAGAGCGGTGCGATCCCAGGGTCAGGATCGCAAGGACAGAGGGTAGACAGGTCTCCTGTCAAGGGCACCTTTTGGATGGTGTTAGGGAAGACAACAAACGAGCCTTCTTTCAAGAGACGCCCAAAGGAACCATTGAGACTCTTTCTCCCACCTTGAGGCGCAACGCCTCATTCCGACTTGCCAAATGAACGCGACCACTAGAAACGTGCTTTGCCTCAAACCGGGAACTGAGCCCCAAAATCGCTGGTCTTATTTTGGTTGCCCTTTAAACTCAAATCACACGGACTTCCTCAAGCAAGAACTCCAACGGTACCCCTGCCGAGCTTGCCTCTTCCTCTGTGGTAGTCTGAGGCAGCGTGGTACTGGTTGTCCTTAGGCAGGCTCGGGAGGTCAGTCATCCGACAGGTCGAGAGGCGACTATGTGTTGCAAAATGCGAAACCCAATGCGAAAGGCATGAAGCGCAAGCCCCTGAAGGACGTCCCTCAAATTGAATTGCGTTTGAAGATACAAAAGACAAACCATGGCTTCAGGACGTGTACCAACCAGTAGCAGAAACACAAACACCAGCAAGAAACCATGCAGTCCCAAAGGCCCACACACGCACAAACACACAAGCCAACACTGGGAAAACCATCAGATTCTGAGTCAAAATCCCGCCCATCCCGCATACATACCGCTGCGCTGGTTGGGGACATACAGGTTTCCTACCTTGGAGTCGTATTGGAGCAGACCCAGTTCCCCTAAAAGGAACTCTCTGCTAGGTTCCATGCCTGCTGTCCGCATCTTTTCTACAATACTTCCCAAACCTTTTGTTCCTCCTTGCATCCAAATCGGTGACTGGTAGCCGCAATTATACACGGTGCCAACAGCACCGTGCTTCCCAAACCTGAAATATGGGATTGCCCACGTGCACAACTTGGCTTGGCTGACGTTGGAAGGGGAGCAACAATTTATTTGTTTGCAGTTAAGCGGGGATTTCAACCGCCAAACCACAATAAGCAAAAATGGAAAAAATGTTTCCCAACAACAACCATGTTTTCCCCAAAGGTTTTCCCATGTTTTCCCCAAAGGGCGATGCTTTCCCCAACAACCATGATTTCTTCAGCTCGTATTTTCCCCAAAAAGCCGGAGATCGCTACCTCGAGATCGCCTCTCCGATTGCTCTTGGCGCCCGGCGCCGCGAGAGCTGCATCCTCGCGCCGCCGGCTGCGCTTTTCTTGTGGGTGGCAACTGAAGATTCGGGGAAACGTCACCTCACCAAGGGATTCTCACCTTTCATGGGCCAAAAAGGTTCGGGGAAACGTACAGGACAAGTTGCGCATTGGCTCACTTCCTGAGTGGATTGTTTTTGCATAAAGTCCACAAACTCATGGCAAGAAATCGCTGAGGTGATATCGCCTCTCGGACTTCTCAAATATCTGAGGCCGCTTGAACCGCTGATTGATCTGAAGTGATGACCATACCTACCATTTGGGTGGTCAACATGAAACCGGGAATTGGACTGCAGGCTTTAGCCCTTCGCTCCATTTCCAGGGTCCACTTTGGGCTATGTTCGACCAGCCACAGAATCTTGGACACCATCCAGCGCCCCGCGCGCTTTTGTCGAACCGATCGAGCCGTTCGGCTTGGCTTGGCTCGAAAGAGGCGCATGTACCAATTGCTTCTAAGAAGCAACCAGGTAGAAAGTTGCTGACCTACTGCCTACTGCACCAGACCGAAACTCCTTGCATTTCCAGTTACGGGGGTTGGAAGGTAGGTAAGGTCAAGTGAGGTGGTATGGATCTATTTAGGCAGCACCCCTCACATGATTGGTAGAGGGGCAATGAGAAAACTGTCAGAGCATCAGTTTCAGGTGGGCCCCTATCCGGTTTTGTATGTTGGCCTTGAACAAATACTTACCGGTGTCTATCGATTCTGTTGTCGAGCATGTATACTCCTCGCCTCAAAATATGATACCTAAAAACTCTGCCTGCAAAGATTCCAAACCAAACAGGATGTTCCAAAACATCCAATATTCAAACCTGAACATGTTTAAGAGAACTGCACCTGCGCCAGCTGCGTGGACCACGAGGCTCTTCCGAATGTGGCGGCATTCCGCGCTCAGGCAAGCAGTGCCTCGTTCTTGTCCTCGGTCAGGTACGACTTCCCAAGATTCGGTTTCAGGGCCTGACCCCCAAAAAAAGATATCCTTAAATATTTGAAAGAAACAAAACAAACCCCACCCCCAAAAAACGATAAGAGTCCTTAGGCGTAAAGGCTCACAAAGAAAGGGAGAGAGAGCTCTATGGAGGTGTGAGAAGTTGCATGAGATTGACTCAAACTAGGGCGACCCCCCAAAATGGGTCATCTGCATTTGGTTTCCTTGTAAACCACCCAACAAAGGGTAAATTCACAAAGCGCACACCCAGTTGGGTTCAAAGGCCCACTTTGGACTGAAGCCCCGCCCGCTTCCCATTTCTCGGGACAGGAAAAGCCTGTCAGTGGAAGCGATTTACCTTGGATTCGGGGTTGGGTGTGGTTCACTTGCAAATCTTTGGGAATCCGCTGTACCAAAGTCTTTTGTCAACACCCTCCGCGAACAATAGCTGTTGAACTAACATGCAACTGTGCATGGATATGGGCGGACCCAGAAGCCAAACCGCGCATGACTGACACTCAGCATACTAAGCAGCAAAACCACAGACATGAACCAACATGTGGCTCCCTGTCTCTTGGTGGTGTCCATGGTGTCCTTCAAAGGCTGCAAACAGGATGTAGAAAAGCGGCAACCATCCGAAATCCACAGCTACAAGCGTACACAAGTGCAAGAACAACCTGTCCAAAGGCCTTCCACCAGAGTTAACTGGGACCTTCCCTTGGGTTGCCACGCGTCCACCCACAAAGCAACTCTACACGAGGAGAACGTGGAAATCCCCCCGTTTTGGGCCCCCAGGCATCGGCTTCCTCCGTCTGATTCTGGCACATCAGGTGCACGAAATGAAGCAGAAGCACCAGGCTGAAGAAGAAGCCGAAGCGGCCCAAACTGGGCAACAGCAACGCCAGGACCTGTGAGATCCGGTGGATCACCCTCATAGACATGTTGGTTCTATCATATATATATATATAGAACTTCAAGACCAATTTCCCAACATGTTCCTTAATTAGCAAAAATTACGCGAATTGTTGGGGAAAAACTCATTTACGCCAAAACACACGAATTTGGGTTCGACCTCTCCATGGTTGCTTGACAGCCACTACTTGGCACTCATCAATTCCATGGTCAATTCCAAGCCAACGAACTCTAGACGCTTTCAACCTGTGGACTGTCATCAAAACTACCATGTTGAGTACCATTCCTCACCAGATGTTCATGAGAGCCACATAGGACTGGTGCCCAGTCCGCAACTTGTTCAAGCGACACGGGCTAGTCTTAACAAAGTGTGTTTGGCCTTTGTGCCGATTTCCGAGTATTTTCCGCGGAAGTTCGGCTCAAATCCACTGATTGCAACAATTGGAGCAACTTCCTAGCTGAACCTCACCTTGTTTGGGGTTGCGGCGCATCCCTGCACCATGTTATGGAAACCTACATGTCCCACTCCTATTCTGGAAGGTGCCCGCATGAAACGCATGAAAGCCCTTCGAGAAACGCTGGTCGATGTATAAGATCAGGCTAAATCAGCAGCAATTGCTGCGAAACATGCAATTGGCAGTTTCCGCCTAGATGTTGGAAATTCCGCTCATTTGACGAAACAAGCAACAACATGTAATAAGCAAAAACATCAAAACATGTTCCTTTTTGAGGGTCCAGGTATATTTATGTTGCATATTATATATTAATATAATATTTTGACAAACATACATACGTACATGCATACATAACATGTCCATAAAAGCCTCAGTGAAGGGAACAACCACATGAAACCAAATAAAACCATCTACCAAAACATCTGATGAGGGTATTGGACGCTGCTACCTGATGGGTTAGGGGTTGGGGCAGTCCTCGCCATTGCAGTCATATACAAAGGAAACTCGCATGTATTTGCCAACAAGAAGCTCCCAAACTTCTTGTTTGGCACTAAAATGGTCCAAACCCAAGAAACAGCATAAATAAGCGGACTTGTTGTGGTCTCCACAGGACGGCGTGAGCAGTTCCGGTGGTGCCTGGGGGAATTTGAAGCGCCGCAACTTTGATAGCCGCCCCCCAAGTAACATTGCGCTACTCCATACCATCGCCTAAACCCAAAAAGAAGAGAGTCCAGGAACTCAGGAAGTGAGTCAATGAAGTACCCTCTTTACAATCATGGAAGTGGACAGGGGGGGTACCAGAGGGAAGTCGTCTAGCTTCCGATCGTCAGCTATGGTTGCCGGGAGGGCAACGAAGAGCATTCCAGAAAAATCCCGATTTCCAGTCTTACGGGGCTGCTGATCGAACCTTCTGGAAGGCATGCGGTCCTATATGTCCATCCACGGTTTGGTAAACGCGACAAAATCTGGGAATTGCATCCGCATGAGGCTGGTGCTTGGAAACCGGCAATCGCTTCTAGTTGAATATCGTCATCCATGTCATCATCTCTGAAAGTTATTTTTCATGAAGCCAAGCAAAACCGCTGGAGACATCGCCCTGGCCTCCGGCGATAAATATTTGTGTAGGCCAAAGCCTCAGGGCTCCGCACGATCCGAAAACTGACCTAAATGGACTGCTGGAATGCAGAACGTCACCAACCCGCATTTTTTTGGGAGGGGGGGAGCACCCAGTTTCAGAAACGCCTAAATGAGTTGCTTGTTTCATTGGAAATGGATCCTCTTTGGGGTTGGCTGAAGCAAAACCGAGGCCCCCACGGTGGGTCCACAGTTGTGAGGAAACATACATCGGACCACCGAAAAGCAGCCCAATTGTTTTGTTCGGTTGGTCTTTCAAGGGAAAACACAATCTTGCTGAGGGATATTGACGTGGGTTCCTCTGATTTCAGACAAACTCGAATATTTCATTCCTGTGACGGCCATATGCGGCCATTGTCCAGCTTGTCTTCTTTCGAGGGCAGCTTCTGGAACCTCACCGAAGTGAGAAGAACGGAGAGAACTTGGCCGCAACTGGCCGCTCAGCTGCAAGATCAACCAACAGCAACTGAACATCACCCTCAGAATCGCTTGGCATGATATCCATGGATTAATCGACCCCCCTGTTATTAGTATGGGGGTGTTCCCACGAAACTCAGGGACAGCCCCTGTCAATGAACCGGGGCTTGTTCATCCGGGGTCAACATTCACCCTTGAGGCACCAAGATTGTCTGTCACCTCGCCACAGGACATGCAACCGCCTAGTGATTTGGAGACAAACCCATACGGCAAAATACGACATTCCTACTCTAGGGAGTGGAGGTACAGTTCACATCATATTGATTGGCTCCTGCTTAGACGTGGTTTTACCAGTCTATGACTGAACACTGCAAACTCTGATCAATCCGTACTATCGACAAGGAGGAACACATTCTATGCCACTGAACACAGGCGGCATTTATCGGCAACATGCGTGTCGCTTTGGTCCTGGGCATGAAACCTCATGCCCTGGCTAAGCTCATTCCTGGAAGAATTCGGCTTGTCTCCAAATGAGGCAACTCACAAAATGGGGGGGGGGCAGGTTCACCGACCAAAAGTTCAGCAGTCTTTGAACTGTCAACCCTACGAAGCGATGGTATGGAGTACCGCAATTTGCAACGCGGGCAGTATAAGACCTGGCCGAGTCATCAAAGTTGGGGCGGTTGGAATTGTCCCGGGTACCACCGGAACTACTCAAGCCGTGGAGACCACGGGAAAGTCCGGCGAACTGTCAACCGCCTCAGCCACTCTTTTTGAAAGGGGAGTCCCCCGAGAGCAAAATCTTAAGAAAGAGAAAGGGGACTAACCCTTTAAGCAAAAACTTAAGAAAGAAAAAGCTGAGTATCCCCCAAGAGCAAAAGCTTCAGAAAGAGAAAGGGGGGTAACCCAAGAAGCAAAAACTTAAGAAAGAAAAAGCTGAGTATCCCCCAAGAGCAAAAGCTTCAGAAAGAGAAAGGGGAGTAACGTACCCAAGAAGCAAAACCTTGAGAAAGAGAAAGCGGAGTACCCCCAAGAGCAAAATCTTAAGAAAGAGAAAGGGGGGTAACCCTTTAAGCAAAAACTTAAGAAAGAAAAAGCTGAGTATCCCCCAAGAGCAAAAGCTTCAGAAAGAGAAAGG